CTTTTTGTACTCAAATGGATAAGCTTTTCTAAGAATTCCAAATATCATAAAAAGTAGTGAAATGATCATCTGGCAATATTGATTATATTACCCTATATATTAAATCAGGTAATTTGAGATATCCTAGGAAATGGTTGTTGACAAGGGAACAAACCTGAATACAAAAAAAAAGAAAATATAGTTGCTGGAGAATTATCTTGGTATTTCTTTACGTTATACACTGTGTCCAAGATAAGAATGAACAGCATGGGGATATCGGAAATGGTAAGTGATACGGGGTCCATTGAATTAAAGAAAAATAGCGCATTCATGTGCCTAATAATATTCAATTTAGAAAGTTTTAATATTCCAACTAGTTTCGGAGATATCCGAGAAAAACCGAAATTTGAGAATTTCGTTTTAGAAAACACCAACTTTGTATTTTTATATGGGCTGAAACTAAAGTATACCCTGTATAGGACTCCATTTTTGAGTGTGAATACAGCAACGTATCACACAATATGATTTCATAACCATTTCTCAAGCAGTGATTACTTAACCTGCTTTTCTTCAATTTTATATAGTACGCGATGGTAAAAATGACACATAATGTTCTGGTGTCATAATAATATTGTTGTTTGGTAAAATGTTTGACATATTACCGTTTCTACTTTTACATCTCGTTACCTACCTAATTTGGGTTAAAAATGGAAAAGGTAGCTTTTCGAATACTGAAAAATTTGATATGTTGTCATGTTACATTTTGTGCCAAAGAAATTGTGTTGATGCTGAACGGCGTACTCTAATAAGTATCCAGTGAGGCGACATCCTGGTATATCACTATTTAGACATTTAGTTCTTGATCATTTAGTTTGATCATTTATCAAACCTGTAGTTTCCCGACAAAAGCAATGTAATGAAGAAAGTCAGCCTGATGTGTTACAGGCCGTTGTTGAAAATCCTGAGATATCCACTCGCACCATTGAACATAATACCGGAGAAGCCAAATCCACCGCTCACTTCACTTTAAGAAAAAATTAATATCATCCATATAAATTTAGGATTTGTCATGGACTCAGACCAGGTGACGATACAAGGCGAACAACCTTTTGTGAATGGTACACCAGAAAATGCCAAGACGATGAAAATTTCCCTTTCAAAATAATTTGGTCTGATGAAACTAAGATCACCAACAATGGCATTTTTAATAGACGGAAGGTTATTTATTGGTAACAAGAAAATCCGCGTGTACTCAAAGTGTCCAGACATCAACATCGATTCGATTTCAACATGTGGGTTGGGATTCTCGGTACAAATGTAATTGGGCCTTTTATCGCTCTAGATTCTAGATAATTTTCCTTTAGCGGTTACTCACAGCTGCTGGTTTCAACAAGACGGTGCTCCAGAACATAACGCTAGAATTGTTTGTGATTATTTGAACCGTCGCTTCCCAGGACAGTGGATTGGTACTCATAATGATACATCCTGGCCTGCAAGGTCCCCCGACCTAACCCCACTAAGTTCAAAAGTAAATGTTTTTATGTAATACATACTTTCTTTCCCAGAAACTTGTAAGGCCTGGGTTTATTTTCTGGAAAAAGATTTCTCAGCTTATCTTCTCTATTCTTAGTTATACCATGAAATGATGATAAGGTAATTAAATCTATTCTTCTTCCTTCGAGAGATCGACATACTGTTTCCCTCACATAGTAAATGTCTTCATCTGAAACGGGCTTCACGTCTGAATATTTGGAATCAATATTCATGAGCATCTTCTCCAAATCCACATAAGAAAAAGGGTAGGTGAACGCAAAGTACGTTATACTGTCAGCATTTTCTGGTGTCCGAAATTTAAAAGTCAAAGTGAATATATCATCAGTTATCTAAAAAATTGATATTAGAATAAATATGAATGAATATTCAAAATAGTATACTCACACTGAATGTAGGTTTGTCCAAAATACGTTCCCACTTTGGCTTACTAGGTAATATTCTATATACAGGTGCCATTCCCTGACTGTACATTTTTCCTTGTCGATTCAGATCTACCATATTGAATCTTACATAGAGTGATGAAGCAGGAGCTTAAAGATTTGAATCGATCAGTTTATTGAATTTGAATAATCTTTGCATACCTTTGACTCCAAAATGAAACCAGGTTCGGTTCCCATTTTCAAACTCTGTTCCAAAGCAATCAGGTTTAGTCCAAATATTGAATTCAGCATCATATGTTTCTTGAACTACAGATTTATTTGATTGTTTACTGAGCACTACAATAATTTTTGAAACAAATGTCTGATTCAAGAATTTTTCAAAAAAGTGAATAGAATCATCACAAATTTAAAACTCTTTTCTGGGATTTGAGGAAGTGTTCTACCGGTTTTTATGTCTAAAATTTCGTAAATAACTGTTCCAGATCACTTTAAAGAAATGAATGGGAACATTTTTGTCTAATTTCCACTAGTATTTTTACGACCGGTTTCGGGTTTTATCCCATTATGAAGTATAAAAACTAATTCATAATGTGAAATTTAAAAACGTGATTTGTAGGTAAGCTGTATAGGGAGATAATTGAATGAACAGGGGTGCCAACTATGAAAATTGAATACTGGAATTTATAGAAATTACCGGGTGTGTCAAACTTATAAATTAAAAAAAAATAACCAGTGGAAATTAGACAAAAATGTTCCCTTCATTTCATTAAAGTGATCATGAATTTCCACAAAATAAACAAGTCATCATTACACGTATTAAATATTATCGAAGTCGCAAAGGCAACAGCAGATATTACATTCTTTGGGGTTCAGATCTGCGGTTTTATTCCATCAGTGGAGGACATGGCAGGCATCGTTTCTATTGGTTGACTTGATTGGCCTAATTTATATGTTGCTGAGTGTTGGTAGCCAGACTTTTTCAACATTAATTCCCTCTACCTTTTGGTTAAAAGTATCTCTATATTTTTCAACTTCTATCGCCTTCATTTATAATCTTGAATATTAGCTCTAGGTTTACTTCAAGTAAATGGGTCTGTTCAAATGTGACATCATGAGTAACTTCCCTGAGAACTTATTTGGCAAATGCTATATAAAAAACCCGCAGACCACTGCCAACAAACCCGGAAAATAGCTTTGACGCAGTTATCTCTAATTTACAAGTGTCCTTTTTTAATGAATGACCTTATCAATTTTTCACAACACAACAAACGATTTTCAATGTATTGTGACTTGGTAAACATATGATATGATTATATTTCTGAGTTTGACTGTTTGCGGTATACTTATTCTCAGCGACGTTCAATATATTTGATAAAAATTACTTATAATAATGAATTTGAAAATAACTAAGTACAGTAATATTGTACAGGAAATTGTTGGTAATTACTAAAAAAATGGATCGATGGATGTAGCCGTTACTACATGGTAGGAGATCATCATGAAAAATGAGAATTAAAACTTCCTATGTTTTAATACCACTTTTATTTGGAACTAACTTTACTGCAGTTCCGTTCTAGAAAAACATTTTCAAACGAATACAATAAAACTTTTTATTATATTGTTTAATTGTATTCGTTTGAAAATGTCCTGCAGAAACGTCAATTACAAATGAAAGTGGAATTTTTAATTCTCATTTTTTCATAACAAAATAATGAATTTATAATTTTTATTTGTGTTTTATATCAATTACTATGGTTGAATGTTGTTATAAATTGTCGTCAGAGGCAAAAACTAGAACAAATGTTGCCTTCTATACTCTACACAGGTTGAACTTTCCACGGTAAAGTTCAACCTCATCAAAATATTTAGCATATGAAGCAAATCAATCAAAAATTATGAAAGGTTTTGTTGTTTTTATAAAAGTTTGTTGATTGTGAGAAAATTAGCCCGTGTTGATTTGAACTATGATAGGAAAGTATAATAATAATAATAATATTATTTGCCATATAACTACAGTGTGAGTCACTGCTTTTTGGTGGGCCTATATATAATGAAGTTTGGGATGGAGTCATACTACTGAATTATTTATCATTCATCAATGATAAGTTTAGCTGTCTTCTTCTATGATATACAGGGCGTTCCAATGAAAGCTTGACACCCCCTGTAAGTCAGAAACGGACATGTAATCGAAAATCAATTTTTATTTCTAGGGGGGCACATTCTGATGGAAATCATACCCGAAACTTCACCCCCCTGCGGTCAGGAACTACCTCCCCTAATTTGTTCAATGGCGTGGTAGATCATCCTGAAAAATGAGAATTAAAACTTCCTATGTTTTTATACCACTTTTATTTGGAATTAACTTTACTGCAGTTTCGTTCTACAAGGACATAAGTGTGAGTCGAGTGATACATCATTTGAAAGGTCTTCCCTCTATTATTTCTGTAATTTTGTTTGAAATTGGTTCCGTCAGAAATGACGGAGTTGAAGTTGCAGTTTTAGGACATTTACAAATAGATAATCGACAATCTATCAGACAAGTAGCTAGAGCGTCTGGTATATCAGCTACTAGTGTTTTTCGGATTTTGAAAGCCTACAAATTCCATCCTTTCTAAATAAGGCTACTTCAGGAATTAAACGAAGCTGATCCTGATCGTCGCCTTCAGTTTTGTAAGGTGTTCTGCAAGAAATTGGCCAATAACCTAAACCTATTATATGTACAATGCATGGTTTTCAGACGAAAGTTCTTTCATGTTGAATGGTGAAGTGAATAGACATAATTGTCGTTACTGTAGCGATGTGAATCATCATTTGGTGACTCCACAAAAATTGAATGTCTGGGCCGGCTCTCTTGGTAATCATATTGTTGGACCATTCTTCATTGAAGGTAATCTCAATGGAGACACATACTTAAATATATTACAAGACTGTGTAGATTCTATGATTACACAAATTTTAGAAAATGGTGACAATTCAGTAGAAAATGAAATAACATTCCAGCAAGATAGTGCACACCCACATTTTGATGTTCGGGTGAGACAGTTTTTGGATGAACGTTTTCCAATGCATTGGATCGGCAGAAGGGGTCCAGTGGAGTGGCCAGCTAGATCACCTGATCTAACACCGATGGACTTCTTTCTGTGGGGATACCTGAAGTCAAAAATGTACTCTACTAAGCCTACAAATCTAGAAGACCTGCGACAGAATTGTTCAGGAATGCCGATTGCTGACTCCGGACATCTTGAATAATGTATGGAACGCTTTCGAGAGTAGACTGTATTATTGAATGGAACCAGGTGGAGGTCATTTTGAACAATTTATTCGTTGATTTTGTTTCCGCTGATATTATTTGTTGTTGATTTCCTCATTGAAATGAACGACGGCGAATTTTCTGTTTTTTTTTTAAATAAAACGTTCAACATTTATTTTCTCAATAACGAATGAACCAATTAAAAAAATTTACAGAGGTAATAGAGAGACAAAAGACCTTTCAAATGATGTATCACTCAACCCCCATGCAATTGAAAAAAATAGAGGGGTAGTTGCTGACCGCAGGGGGTGACGTTTCAGGTATGATTTTCATATCAGAATTAGTCCCCCTAGAAATAAAAATTGACGTGTTCTTAGACATTTTCGATTCATGTCCGTTTCTGACTTACAGGGGAGGTCAAGTTTTCGTTGGAACGCTCTGTATAATAAGAATTTACAACACCTCAGTTAAAATCAGCCATATTAACAATTGAAGCATTGTACACGTCTTTGACACATGTCTGTCAATAAACCTTATAGCACTTTTGAGACCCATGCAGGTTGAAACAGTGCTATCTGGTTATGAATCATAAATACTATGTTTTTGCACTTTGCTGTCATCTAATTGCTGTCCAAATTACTTGTAGTACAAGTACTGAGTAGTTCACAGTTTGTTAGCATGTTGTAATTGTTGATTATTTACAGACTTACGAGCTGCTATTTGTTACTCTCAAGTTAAGAATAGCATTATATATTTTCATCTCTAACTTTTTATTCAAGGTTATTTTCCTGTTCGAAAAGAATCAACAATATACCACGGAAGAAACCTGCATTAAACTAAGTTCAATTTTCTGAGCACAATCAATGATACATAATCGATATAATACATAAATTGGGATTTTTCAGTCTGGGACAAAATGTATGTGACTTATGTAGAATGAAAATATAAAATATTATCAGTAGGCTTGAACTAGCAGATTTTGATGAAATAACGGATCATAATTATGAAACAACTGATATTATTGTAGATAAAAAACGCTTGATTGGAAAATTTTATGCAAACATCAAATTAGAACAGGAAGAAGACACATCTGAAGCTGAAATGATTGTTCAGTGATTGAATATTTTAACAGTATTAGCCAAAAATTGGACAGCAAAGGAATTTCCAAGATTATTTCTTATTCAAATTATATGATCAGAAAAGTTAAGAAGTTTGTGAAAGAAACAGGAATTTTACAATCACCCAACTCAAAACCAGACAAAATCCTCGATAAAACAACTGTAGTGATACATTTTTATTATTCGGGCGACAAATGTAGACCCATGTCTGGAAATATTTTATTGTAGCAATAATTAATGGGGTAATCAAGTATGAAAAAGGCTAATGAAAGAAAGGTTTTAGCTTTCTACTTCTCCATTTCCATATAAAAAAATGTGGGAATCTTCCAAAGAAAAGAAGAAAGTAATTAATTATAAAATGTTAGCCGTTACTACATGGTAGGAGATCATCATGAAAAATGAGAATTAAAACTTCCTATGTTTTAATACCACTTTTATTTGACAGTCCTTATTTCCCTTTGAACCCCTTCATTTCATACCCATATAATGGGGGAGCCCCATATTGGATTTAGAGTCACTTATACTTCGTATTCTTTCCAACAAACCCTTTAGTTTGTTAACCACATTATGGGAGTACATAAAAAACTAGTCGCCACCTTGGGAGGTCCGACATGCTGGCAGTATAATGGCGTCATTTAGCTAATCATACATTGTCATCCTAACTAAATATGTAGTCAAAATTTTATGAGGATAACTGCTTCAAAATTCAGTCGAAAGATTCAACCTGAACTAGCATTTATGCAAACATTGCAAGTTGAAAAAATGGGAAAGTTTTTGAATTTTTACTATTCCATCTTGATACAAAAAAAATGTGGGAATCTTCCAAAGAAAGGAAGGAAGTAATCATTTTGAAAATAACTAACTCTATACATGGATGTGTAGATCATGCAAAGAAACAACTTTCAGACACAAACTGGAAGAAAGACCTCCTGAAACAGCTACTTTCATATAAACATTGAATTACACGAAAGAAAAA